AGACGACGATGACGAGGAACGCCGGGGACCTCGCCGCGAGTCCTCACGTCGCAACTCATCCCGCCCTTCCCGCGCCAAGTCCGTGGGCCATCACCGGGACGAAGGGAGGGGTCGCTCCTATGGCCGCAGTTCGGGTCGTTCCTCTGGCCACCATGTGGGTCACCGTCGCCACATCACCGAGCAGCGCAATCCTACTCCTAGCAGCCTGGCCGGAGACTCCCTGGCGCGGATGAAACTCTCCTCTATCATTGCATATGACGCGGCTTGCACGGACTGGACGTCCACTATCAAGGTGCTGCCGCCGGCCTTCACCATGGGCTTCTCACGGCTCGCCTCTTCCCCACCACAAGCGCACATCGAGCCTCCCCTCCCTAGCGCTTGGCTGGATGACGTGATGGACGACTCGGCAACGCTCCCCGCCTCGCCAATCCTACACGCGGCTCGGTCTCCGCTGTTCCCACCGGCTGTGGTGCCGGAGTCTTGGGAAGACGCCACTGGGGACGTCGCTGACGACGAGGCCAGGCAGGTCCTTGGCGACCCCGTGGCCGAAGAGCGCGCTCCATCCCCCGACAACAACCTTTTTGTGCGCCCTCAGGCACCTCTCCTGCCGTGCCCTGCGCCTGCACTGCTGACGCATACGCTGCCCAAGGTGCAGCCCACTTCTATTACCAGGCGTAGTGCCCGTTTGATCAACAAGCCAAAGATGCACGCCATGGATAAGGCCGTCCATGTCCTGAACACCAAGATGGGTGTTGCTTCTGAAGGAGTCCCTCTGCTGGATGCGAGGAAGGCTTACGTCGACAAGTTCAGCACCCCGCTTCCGGACAAGGCGATTGAAGCTCTAGCCAAGCTCTTCAAACTCAACATCCGCAGCATGTCCGAAGCGGACGAGTCGCTCATTGCCATGGGCGGTCCAGGAGGGTGTGAGCTAGATGCCCAGGACATGACTGTTTAGTTCCTTGCTTTCCTGCTATGTTTCTCGTCTTTTTCACTTTGTGGACAAGTCTCTGTGTTCGTCTGTTAAGCTATCACCTCACCTCGGTTGTTGTCACTATGTTTGGACCTGATCTCTCCATCGTTGACTGGAATACCCGCGGGCTAAACGACCAAGGTCGCAAAGACACCGTCCATGCCTTCCTCGCAGATACTCGCTGTCATATCGCTTGCATCCAAGAGACCAAGCTCGACCACATCGATCAACAAACGGCTTCTTATATCGGCGGTCTTAGTCTTCGCTCCTTCGCTCACCGTCCGGCCATCGGCACCCGGGGCGGCATCCTCTTACTCTGGAATGAGGATCATGTGGAGATCTCCAATGTTCACCTCGGCACTTACTTGATCTCGGCTAGCGTCTTCATTTGCGCATGTGGTACCTCCTTCAAGCTCACTACGGTCTACGGCCCTACAGATCATGCCGAGAAAGAAGCCTTTCTCTTAGAAGTTATCGCTGCCAAGCCTTCTGACGACTCAAAATGGCTCGTCATTGGGGATTTCAACCTTATCTACCAAGCGGAGGATAAGAACAACAACAACCTAGACTTCCGCCTGATGGGTCTCTTCAGAAGAGCCCTCACCAACTGTCAGCTTAAGGAGCTGAAGCTGCAGAACCGGAGGTTTACTTGGAGCAATGAAAGGGAGACCCCTACTCTTGTGCGTCTGGATCGGGCTTTTTGCAATGCTGCTTGGGACCTCATGTTCAAGAATCATGTGCTACATGCCCTGTCCTCATCCCTCTCGGACCACTGCCCCCTCCTCCTTTCCAACCAGAGTGGCCCGTGGAAACCGCCTGTCTTTCGCTTCGAGTCCTTCTGGACCAAAATGCTAGGGTTCAGGGAGGTGGTCCAACAAGCATGGTCTGCGCCCTCCTTGCACTCTCAACCGGTCCATGTCATCAATCACAAGCTCAAGGCCACGACACAAGGGATCAAATCTTGGAGCAAAGGCCTCTTTTCTGATGGCAATCTACAACTCCTCATGGCCCTGGATGTCATTCTGCAGGTGGATATTGCTCAAGAGTCCCGCGCGCTCTCCCAGGAAGAAAGATGGCTCCGTGCTAACCTAAAACGTCGGGTTAAAGGTCTCGCTGTTCTGGAAAGATCCCACAAATGTCAAGCCTCCGGGATTCGCTACCTCCGTGAGGGCGATGCCAACACCAAATTTTTCCATCTACGAGTTAATGCGAGGAAGCGCAAAAATCACATCTTGAGACTCAAGCATAACACTGGCTGGGCTGTGACTCACGATGATAAAGCCGGGCTGATCTTCGACCACTTCTCCCGCGTTCTAGGTCGGCCTCCTCCTCGTACGCTGGACTTCAACTGGGACGCCCTGAACCTCACCACCCACCCTTTGGAGGATCTGGGCCTGCCTTTCTCTGAGGATGAGATAAAGGAGGCTATTGATGACATGCCCGCGAACAAGGCTCCGGGCCCTGACGGTTTTACTATCGCCTTCTTTCTCTCTTGCTGGGATATAATCAAGGATGACCTTATGTCCGTCATCAATGCCTTTTCCGAGCTTTCTGCGTCCAATTTCCACATCATCAACACAGCCAATGTCGTGCTTCTGCCTAAAAAGGACGGTGCGGAGTCCATATCGGATTTCAGGCCCATCAGTCTCATCCATGTGGTTCCGAAGATCATCGCCAAAGCTATGGCACGACGTCTTAGCCCGAAGATGAACAACATTGTTTCCCGCAGTCAGAGCGCTTTCATCAAGTCTAGAACTATCCACGACAATTTCTTGTACGTCAGGAACACCGCCCGCCGGTTACATCGCTGCAAAACTCCGTCACTTCTGATCAAATTGGACATCGCCAAGGCCTTCGACACTATTCGCTGGGATTACATGCTGGATCTTTTGCAACGCCTCGGCTTTCCTCAAAGATGGCGGGCCCTCCTGACGACTCTCTTCACCACGGCCTCCTCTAGGGTTTTGCTCAACGGAATCCCTGGGAGGGACATCATGCATGGACGGGGTTTTCGTCAAGGTGATCCCCTCTCGCCCCTCCTGTTCGACATTGCCATCGACCCACTTCAGAGACTTCTGGAAAAGGCTACGGAATCCGGCTTGCTGTCTGCTATGCCTGGTGGTATTCAGGGCCCCAGGCTCTCCCTATATGCGGACGACGCTGCCATTTTTCTATCCCCCACGACACATGATGTGGAAGGCCTTGCTTCCATTCTACAGAGTTTTGGGGTAGTCTCTGGCCTCGTGACAAATGTGACCAAGAGCTCCATCGCCCCCATCCAATGCGCCAACATTAACTTGGAGGAGATTCTGACGAACTTCCCAGCGACTACAACCCCCTTCCCCATTAAGTATCTGGGGTTGCCCCTCTCCCTCGGAAGACTTAGGCGTGTGGACCTTCAACCCTACATCGACAAAGCGGTGGCTCGTCTTAGCCCGTGGAAAGGAAAGTTCCTGAACCGTGCCGGGTGCACTGCTCTGGTTAAGTCCGTGCTCTCCTCCATGCCAATCTTCCTGCTGACGGCTTTAAAGGCTGACAAAGGCATCCTCAGGGCCTTTGCGAAGATCAGTCATGGCATGCTCTGGGCCTGTAAGGAGGCGGTTAGTGGAGGGAAATGCAAAGTCAACTGGCAAAAGGTCTGCCGCCCCAAGGAGCTCGGTGGTTTGGGGGTTCTGGACCTGGAGAGGTTCTCCCGGGCCCTGAGGCTTCGCTGGTTATGGTATGAGTGGAAGGCTCCTGAGAAGCCATGGGTGGGCTCTGAAACACCCAACGACGCCTTCGACCTTGACCTCTTCAATGCGGCTACTCGCGTCACCATCGAAAACGGCGCCAAGGCCTCCTTCTGGTCGTCTTCATGGCTCAATGGTGCCCCGCCAAAAGACCTGGCTCCCCTAATTTTCAAGGCTTCCAAGAGGAAGAATCGGACGGTCCAGGACGCTCTCGCTGATAACAACTGGATCTCAGACATAGTGGTGGATGCGTTCACGGCCGATCACATGGAACAATACGTCCGCCTCTGGGAGCTCTTGTCGGATATCCAGCTTCATCCTGACACTGAGGACTCCATTACCTGGTCCTTGACCCCTAATGGGTGCTACTCGGCCACCTCCGCCTACAAGGTCTAGTTCCTTGCCTCTTTGCCCTGCCAGTTCGGGAACATCGTGTGGAAGACCTGGGCCCCTCCAAAGTGTCGTTTCTTCGCCTGGCTCGCTGTCCAGAACCGTTTATGGACCGCCGATCGCTTGGCGAAACGCGAATGGCCGCACCAACCTACTTGTCAGCTCTGCCGTACCTCCCCTGAGACGGCACGGCACATTCTTTTTGAGTGTCGCTTCTCCAGACGTATCTGGACGGCCGCGGCCTCTTGGCTGTCTTGTCCAGACCTCATCAGCAGCATCGGGGAGGGTAGGCCTAAAGTCGTGGACTATTGGTTGGCCGTTTCGAAGTCCACCACCTCCTCCCCAAATGGCTTGCGCTCAGCTATCACGCTCATCACTTGGGAGATTTGGAAAGAGAGGAACGAACGAGTTTTCAACAACAAGTCCTCCCTGCCATCGGTTGTCATGCATAAGATTAGGGAAGAGGGGAAGGACTGGATCCTCGCCGGTGCTAAAAATCTGGCGGAACTTGTAGGCTGATCCTCCTCCCCCTGTGTCGGGGGTGGTGGTCGCCCCCTTCCTCGTTTTTTTTGTTGTTTTTGGCTCTTGCCATACCCCCGTTTGCTTCTCCTATATCAATATAAGGCAAAAGCTTTTTTGCCCGTTTCAAAAAAAAATACTTGCCTCTCCTAGCACATTCCCCCCTTCTCTCATGTGGCCAGGATAATTTTCTGGCCACTCCTACACTCTTCCCACATTGACCCAAATGTAGCTAGTGTTCTAGGTGCCTCTCAAAAAGGTATACCCTCCTCCCCTATCAGCTTCCACCTTACCTCACCAATGCTTCCATTGCTCTCATCAGGAAGAAACCAACTATTAATCTATCGTAGCTAGCCCCGCGGGCTGTTCTATCGATCGGCGGCCTTCCCATAATGGCTTCTGGAAACGACTGGTTGGGGTTCTCGCTCTCCGGCCAAGAAAACCCACAGCCGCATCAGGATAGCTCGCCGCCCGCCGGCATCGACATCTCCGGCGCCAGTGACTTCTATGGCCTACCCACGCAGCCAGCCCCCGACGCTCAACTTGGCGTGCCAGGCCATCAGCCTTCGTACGGGATCACGGAGGCCTTCACTCATGAAACCCACGGTGAGTGGAAGAAGCTAGCCAGTTTGCCGCATGCGCCCCGATCCATTGTTATCTAAGTATGTATCTATCACTTCTCCCATTCAAGGTTTCTTGTTATTTGATGTGGCTGTAGATTGGAACATGAGGGGTGATCTGGACTATAACGGCGGTGCGTCCGAGCTCTCGATGCTCGTCGGGTCGAGCGCAGTCGGCGGCAAGAGGGCGGCCATGGAGGCCGAGACCGAGCCCAAGCTTGAGGACTTCCTCGGTGGCAACTCGTTCGTCTCCGAGCAAGATCAGGCCGGCGGCTTCTTGTTCTCCGGAGTCCCGATGGCGACCAGCGCCAACAGCAACAGCGGGAGCAACACCATGGAGCTCTCTATGATCAAGAGCTGGCTCCGTAACAACCAGGTACCCCAAGCGCCGCACCCGCAGTCGCATACCGGGGCGCCCGTGCAGCAGCCGCAGCCCCACGAGGAGATGAGCACCGACGCAAGCGCGAGCAGCTTCGATGCGCTGGGGAGAAACGGCGCGTTGGTGGTGGCGGGGAGCTCGCAGAGCCTGGCGCTCTCGATGAGCACGGGCTCAGGATCGCACTTGCCGATGGCTGCGGTCGGCGGCAGTGCCACTGGGGGAGTCTCAGAGAGCACCTCCTCGGAGAACAAGCGGGCCAGCGGCACCATGGATTCGCCGGGCGGTGCCGTAGAAGCTGTCGCGAGGAAGTCCATCGACACATTCGGGCAAAGGACGTCGATATATCGAGGTGTAACAAGGTTAGAACATTATATTATTGATAATTACTGGTTGATTTCTTCACATTAATTTGTTGATCCATGACTTACACTAATTAGTCCATTTCAAATTGGGCTAGTATACTAGCATTTCAAATTGGGCAATCAATCTAGCGCGAGAAACTCTTTAAACAGACATAAAGGATCTATGCTAGTCGGGATACTGCAAGCTACTTTGATTTTGTGCCTGTAATTTGGTGATTATTTGAGCACATATATAATTCGTTGACAGAGAAAAGGTGACAAATCGACTTATTATCCAATGATTAGTATATAGATGCTACCATTTTCCATCCACCAGTTAGGTAAAAGGCTTTCGCCCTGCTTTATAGATAAAAGAACCACCACATCCATACAACAAAGCTCAAGCACATGAAAAAATAAACATAAACCCCGCTGGGGCAACAACACAAATGTGCCCTAATAAAAAGAAAAAGAAAAAGGAAGGGCCACCAAGTGGCTGGCAGATCAATGGCTAGGGGGCGAAGCAATACGTGTCTTGCCGCCATCAGCACATCCATCATGCCACCTAACCGATCAATGGTCGGGTATGTATAACTAACAAGTAATATGTAGCTCACTGGGTAATTAAGAAACGTTGATTCATAATTGGATTGAATTACTTGTTCATACAAGTTTTTTTTTCGATAAAGGACGATTTTATTAATTCAAAATGTAGCATCAAGTGGATACAAAGTATTATGAGTAACACCCGGCCTCTGCATAACTAGGATGCATACAACCAAATCCGAAAGTCCGACCAAAAAAATCATTAAATAAAAACCGACAAAACGGCAACAGTAGAGTCCTGTAGACCGATACTATGCCTATGTCGAAGGAGGTGGTGGGTCGATCCGAAGGTTATGCTGCCACCCATGTCGGGAAAAAACCTCCATAGCCACCTGCTCCAATTTCGTACACACCGTCTTGAACAGCGATTGGTACTCCGGTCGTTGTAGAATAGACCACGTATGTAGCGAGTGCGTACACCGGAAAATAACCTGCAAAGAAGAAGCATTTTTTCCATTGAAAATCAAATCATTTCTACATAGCCAAAGCGACCAAATTAAGGCATACGCTCCCACCCTTATTAGCGTTTTGAAAACTATTTGGAATACCGTCCAACCAATGACCAAAAATATTGGCAACACTTGTGGGTGGATGCAAATTTGATGCTATTTGGATGACTGACCACGTAGAACGTGCAAACTTGCATTGAAAAAAGAGGTGTTTGATTGTCTCGTCATGAGTACAAAAACAACACTTCTTACTCCCTTGCCAATTGCGTCATGCGAGGTTGTCTTTAGTTAACACAACTCCCTTACGAAGATACCACATGAAAAATTTCACTTTTAATGGTATCTTGGACTTCCAAATTTTCTTGTTATTACTAACAGGTACCTTAGAATGTGTGAGTGCACGGTACATATAGTGCAGTCTACAGTGAAAGACCCGGATGTAGTAAGGTTCCAGCGAAACACATCACGGCCTTCTGCCAGGTTAATCGAATCCAACCTGGATAAAAGATTATGCCATGACACAAGTCGGGGGCCAATCAAATCCCGTCTGAACGAAATATTCGGTGGGGATGAATTGAGCACCTGCGCAATAGTATTATTCTTATCGCGAGCAATGTTGTATAAGGTTGGATATTGTTCTCGGAGACTGGCATTGTCTAGCCATATGTCTTCCCAAAAACGAATCTCCGACCCGCCCTTTATCGCGAAAGACCCAAAGCGAAAGAGATGTTTCTTTGTCGCCATTAGGCCAGCCCAAAAGTGTGAGTCGCCGGGTTTCCAAAATGCACAAGTATACAACATGATTCGTACTATAGCTAATTTGAACTGCTTCTTCTCCGGAACTCTTATGATATCTTCTACACTAATCTACACCACTATAACCCGAACGCGCCAAAATAAGAGGTATAACTAATTTAACTGTTCTAGCTAACCCAACACAAATAGATAGTGCGGATCTTTGCTTTTTCTCTGGATAAACACAGAAGTTTTTATATAGAGATCTCTTTTATAGACCTCTCAAAACGAATGTGTTTCAATGAATGATGAATACAAATTCATATAAAATGAAATTGATGCTTTTATTTTCTCTGATCAACATACTCTTGCACATACATGTACATTAGAAATGGATGTATTTTTAACGACAACATGTACATTTTGAATGTGCTAACTATATATATTCTTATGTTCTTCAATATTCCTTCTCAGACATAGATGGACAGGGCGTTATGAGGCTCATCTCTGGGACAATAGCTGCAGAAGAGAAGGGCAGAGTCGCAAGGGTAGGCAAGGTAATAAAAATGGCTATATACTTCCTATTTCTCTCTCCATTGCACAACGATATATACACCCGTGATGTGCTATTTAAGCATTTTATCTTGTGTTGCCTCAACACTCTGCATGACTGCATCACCATCACCTCTGGGAATGATAATATATTGTCCCCCACAATCAGTTTATCTAGGTATGCTTGCCTTACTCTCTGGCCATTTTTATTCATTGGAGTTTACCAATTTAGTTATTCCACCTTATGATTGTGATCATGAAACCTTAGGTGGCTATGACAAGGAGGACAAGGCAGCAAGGGCTTATGATTTGGCAGCACTCAAGTATTGGGGTACAACAACAACAACAAATTTCCCAGTAAGCAAGTTCTGAAACTATTTTTATGGCGCTTTTTCCTTGCATTGCTATTTTTGTTTCTGCAAAACATCTCAACCTATTTTTATTGGAACATAATATTTTTTTTACAATGGTAGATTAATACCTACGAAAAAGAGGTGGATGAAATGAAACATATGACTAGGCAGGAATACATCGCATACCTAAGAAGGTACTATTGCTAGCCGACGTTCATCTCATACTGAACTATCACACACAAGTAAATGGAATATTGCACTATCAATAACTTGATCCGAGAAATGCAGGAATAGCAGCGGATTTTCTCGTGGTGCGTCAAAATATCGTGGTGTGACTAGGTATGTTACTAGGTAATTCGGTCTGTTATGTTTTACAAACCATAATAATTTATGTCATTTGGAAATAGCTAATGTCCGATATGTATTCTTAGAATTAGTAGGCATGCATGTAAGCAAACATGTATGTTAGATAGTTATCCAAATGGTTGTTATATCTTTTTTTTTTCTAAGTTCTAACTATATAAGGTGAGATCGTTACCAGGCACCATCAGCATGGGAGATGGCAAGCAAGAATTGGGCGGGTTGCAGGAAACAAGGATCTCTACTTAGGCACCTTCAGTAAGTTATTGATCAGATATAATTAACCCTCTCTTCGGAGCCTATCTAATTGCTGGACTAATGAAGATCTTTAAGACTAAATTATGACTAGTCATAGTGGTATAGCTCCAAGATCTAAGTCATCGACCAGTACTACTTATTTAGTTACTTTTTTCTTGAACTCTTCGTCTCGTAGAGCTGAAGGTTAGATATTCTATATGTTGCCCTATGGTGCAATAAAATAGTGGTAACTGCATTAACTCTGTCCCAAATGTACTTTTTCAAGTTTTTGTCTCAAAGTTGTCTAAGAAAACCTTGGCATGGAGTCAAGGGCAAAGTTGAAAACACTAGTGATTTGAATCACACACTTGCATCCTAGAGCCACCTATGTATACATGCATGCATGCAATATGAAACGTACATCGTCAC